CTTTCATGTAGATAAGCTATAGCATCTGTAAACATCAGGGATCACTGAGCCCTAGGCAAGGGAGTCCAGTGCTCATTCATCAATGCTGGGATTTGCTAATGCTGTCTGCCTTAGGCCTGGCTCTGGGAGAGTCATGGTTGGAGCCACGATTTGTGCTAAAAGCCTGAGCATTATTTTGTTGAGCCGTTAGCCAAAAGCAAAGAGCTGTTTAGTGTTTCACCAGCTATGATCCATCATCTCTGTTGCCAGCTTGACTTGATTTGGAATCACCGAGGAGGTACCTCTGGGTGGGTCTGTGGGGATGTTGTCAGAGGGGTTTAGCAGAGGAGGGAAGACCTACCCTGAATGTGAGCAGTCATCTCACAGAATGGGGTCCCAGACTAAACAAAAAGGGAAAAGGAGGCCAGCTGAGCAGGGACATTAGTATCTCTCTGCTTCCTGGACTTCCCAGACTTGAGGAATTCTAGCCGCTTGCTGTCATTGTCTTGAGCTCTGGGCACCTCTCCACTATGATGGACTGTGTACCCTCTCCAACTAACTGTAGACCACAGTAAACTGTTCCTCTCATAAGTTGCTTTATGTCACCTATTTGGTCACAACATGAGAAAAGTAACTAATAGAGAAACTTATCTCTTTAAAAAGTGAGGATTTGGGAAAAAATGAAGATGAAGCAGATTAGCCATCCTGAAAATGAAAGCCTGCCTGCCTTCAAGACATTTAAGATTGGAGATGAACTTCCTTCAAGGCATTTTTTTAGACACTTTATCAAAATTGCTAAGAGCTATGACTGGCCTCATCACAAAGCCCAGGGCCCTTCTTACCAATTTTAGAGGAGTTTCAAAACCTATCATATTAATGACTGCCTCTTCTAGGGGGAATTTTCTTCCCTAGTGCCTGGCTGAAGGGATAAAAGTATGAAGAAATGTTGAGGCATTATTTTCTTTGCATACTGGATATTTGAGCTTAACTTTAGAATATTTTAAGTGACAACTCGCTTAATAACATTTTAAAAAAGATTCCTTCTACAGTATATTGAGTAAAATAAATTCAAGATTTGGCCATGATTTTAACTAATCATGGCAGCAGTTAGTAGTCTAACTTTGAACATAAACTGTATCTTGGGGCTGGAAAGATGGTTCAGTGATTAAGAGCACTGGCTGCTCTTACAGAGGACACTGGTTTGGTCCCAGTACCAACATGGTGGCTAACAATTGTTTTTCATTTCAGTTCCAGGGGATCTGGTGCCCTCTTTTGGCCTTAGTGGGCATTGCATGTGTGTGGTGTACTTACATACACACAGACAAAACACTCATGTAACAAAGAAAAACCAAATACTATAGCATAACCAAATAAAAGATGGACACACTCTCTCAGAGCCAAACTGTGGGGATATGTTTTGAAGGAATTCTGGCTAAAACTTCTCCTCTAGTTGCCTGAATGTTTATCACTGAATATTAAGAAGCATTTTCAGAAATGAGCACAATAATATTCTAGGGAATAGGCCACTGCAGATTCACTGTTCGCTAATCCCTAAAGAAGGAAGGTTAGCAATGACGCACAGGGTAAGAGTAGAGTGGGGAGAAGGAGAGAGGGGAGGAGAGTAAGGGAGATGATGGCTTTCAGAGGAGCTTTGTAAATGGAGATGGACTTCATTGCCAAGTCTTCTGATTCCAGAGTGTTCACTTGCCCTTAGGCTTTGCATATTTGAAGACCCAATCACTAATATTAAGTAGCTGATGAATTCCACACCCATAAACAAATTCTTAAGATGCCTCTGAAAACAGAAAAAGAAAAATAATGTAGGGAAGTGTAGGAGTGCTTTCTCTCCAACATTTCTGAGAGAAGAAGGGCGTGGACAGTCTCAAACAAGATGTTGTCCCAATCCCATTTGACTAATTTTAGTTATCTTGGTTCATGGCTATGATTCATCCTTAAAGCTGTGAATTGTTGAGGAGGAAGGAGGAAAAAATTGACTTAAATGTCAAAGAAGCAGGAACATAAATATAGTTTTCTTTTTTGGGAACTAGAATTCCAGGATATGGGTATCTTTTTTCTGCACAAGGGACTAAAAGTGTCAAACATCTAGAAAAATAATGACTCCAGTCAAAACATGGAACAAGATAGAGCTGATTATGAGTCATGACATGTCTGAATTTTTGCCTTTTTCTCCTAAAATCCTATTGAACTAGAAATCATTAAATAATCATATGTGAGTAAGTATGATAGAAGAGTGATATGTAGACTGCAATGATAATGGAAGTGACTGGTGATAAGTAGACTGACGAATGATTCTGGCAAATTCCACAGTCACACAGAGAAGAAAAGCATGCCTGAATGGTGGTCAGATGCTCTCTGGTTTGCTGAGGAATAGATCAACAGAGATAGTTTGATGAAACTGTCCTGAGGAATGGAAAATGTTTTGTAATTTGTAAGTAAATTGGTTTCCATTTTGGGTTTCCACCAGTTTGGAGGAAAGAAATAGCACTCAGTAATTTACATTTAGTTCAATCATTTCATTGAGGTAGCCGATCCTCTACTGGGCAGGTCTGACCTGCAGCTCATGGGCTACATCTGCCCCAGGATAGCCATGAATACAGTCTAACACAAAAATCATAAATGTAGTTAAAACATTATGATTTTGGTTGTTTTTTAATAACTCAATCACATACTCGTGTGAACTCTGTAGATGACAATGCTGTGTCACATTGTCAGACACACTGTCAGTAGTCGCTATCTCCTTGCTTCTTTCTGCTCTTAAAACCTCTAGAGAATATTCATTGTAGAGATCTTTAATGTCTTTGGTCAAGTTTATTCCTAGATATTTTATTTTAAAAGAATATGGCTGCCAACATAAGGCCAAGGGAATTAGTGAAGGACAATATTATGTAGAAGAAGGATAATTATTATGTAGGAGAAAGAATTTCAAGGGCTGTGTCCCCAGAGCTTTGAGCAGAATGGCCCCAGTGCACCACTGGGAATGCTGATTTTGGCATCTGTTGCTGTCCTGAGCTTTCCTCAGAACACCCTTCCTCATCATCCTCACAGCCCTGCCTGTTTCTCTTCTCATATCAATGTATTGCTGCTGTGAGAAGCAGCAGTCACTGTATCCCATCACCTAAGACCCAAGGTGCCAATCAACTAATCCGGCACACTCTGGTGATGACTTAACAGAATCCTCAAGAGGTGGGAGGATGCTGGAGACGGCTGAATCTCACTGCTTGGTTTCAGATGAGGAAAATAACTTGAAGGTTTACGTGACTTCATGCTCTTTGAATGCCTTTGTCTTTTAGAAGGCACCAATTAATACTATGGCTGTATTGCTGGCTCATAGAGACATATTTTAAGGTCTGCAGGTGATATTTTCCATCAGAGGCTTTGGGTACCCTCATTTCACAATATCTTGGTTCAACATCTTTTATACAAAACCAGTTTTTTAGTTTGGGTATATTTAATTTTCTGAGCCTCTGCTAGGAGTGTCAAAGTCCAATGAAATTTCTTTCTATGATCAACTTTATTATAGGTGGAATCACGTTCCCCCAATAGATACACTGCTAGTAACTGTGAATGTGACCTTGTAGCATAGTGTTTTGGAACAAGGTCTTGTAGATTTAGTCAAGTTGACATGAGGCTATTAGGGAGGTCATAAGAAGCCAGTGACACGACAGCACCATGTGATATCAGCCAAGGAATTTGAAGTATTGCTGGTCACAACCAGGATCTGTGACGGAACAAGGAAGGACAGCCCTAGCCATGTAATGCATGGCTCTGCTGTTACTTTGGTTCAACTGCTAGCTTCTTGTACTAGGGCACAACATATTTCCATGTTTGTTTGCAGCCACTAAGTTTGTGATAGTTTGTAATGATAGGCCCAAGAAAGTCACACTTAAAAGCAAGAGAGAGGGCATCTGGAATAGGAAGGAAAGGAAGAACTGATTCTTCTTGTGGACTGGCTCACTAACATATTAATGTTAATTTTTGATTAAAAAGATTCAGAGTAATTCCATATGGATCCATGAAAAAGATTCATGAGTACATTTTCCTGTCCGGGTTTTAAAAATATAGTGTACTTTGCTATTTAAATAAATTCCTGTTATAGAATAGTTAGCTATTGTTCAATGTTCTTGATTAACAATCTGATTTTTTTTAACCCAATTGCTTTGGCCTTTTCTGTTTTATTTATTTTGTTTCTTAATATTTCATTTTGTAACCTAATATGAATGTATACATATTAGTCACGTGTATTTCATTAAAATATGGAATCAAGGCTTTTAGACGACCTACAGTATATTTTTAGGTTCAACTGGATCTGCATTCCAAAGATCTGATTTATTCTCTATAAGTAATATAAAATTTAAATTAGATCTGTTTAAAAAATGTTTCAGTTATTTCCTTTGCAAAGCTGTTCTTTTTCTCCAAACAGCACAAATGGAAATAGGACTACTTACACACGCAATTTTCAAAACAAAAACTACTTTAAGGTCTGACAAGTTGTAATATGTATAGAGTCCAAATTTAAACACACATGCCAAGAACTATCATGTATCACACAATTTTCAAGCAAAACCACCACATTCTATAAAGTTCTTTGACATAATCATCTCTATTATATCACATAATTTTCTGAAAGCCCAAGAACTCTTTTAAGGAGGAGTTCCCTTGTGTATTTAGTGACTGAAAAATATGTCCCAAACTGGGGAACATGGGTCTGCTCCTTGACCAGAAATCTTATTCTTTTCAGAAGCTATTCTGGGTTGCTTCTTAGGGGTTAAGAGTTCAGCTTCTGGTCAATGCACCGTACACCCAGAATCCACCATCTTTGGTGACATTGGTATATGCAAGTCAAATTCAGTGTCAAAAACAATAGACCATTCAGTGCATCACACCATTCCATCTGAAGGAAGTTTTCGGCTCCACTAACTCTTGTCATCAAACAGTCTGATTGATCCTCAGTGGGAACACCAGGGGTTGACCAAAGAAAGTAACATGAAAGGATCACTTACTTGAGTGTGGTGAGCTCTGTGAGGGATGGCTGCGTAGCCTTGAGATAGCTTTCTCTTCGTGCAGCAACTTTGGGAGAAGGCTTGGGACTTGTGTCTGAGTCCCCACTGTCTTCATCCCCCATGGCCTTGATGTAACTGCCACTTCGCATCCTTCGGCATGGAATCTCATCATCTTTACCTCGAGGTGTGTACCCTGACCATTCATCTTGAGGAACCTAGTCAGATACAAAACAGATAGTTCACTCTCTTTTTATAAACTCATACTTTAAAATTTTTTCTTGTACTTTTTTATGACCCTGAATTATATAAGAGATAAATGATCTAAGCCTTTAGTCATTGACTTTTCAATACAAAGTTTTATAGTAATCATTTTGAAAATAATTTTAATATATCCATGCCACAGTCTTAAAAAAGCACCAGCACGAGGAAACCCGAAAACCACTGGTTCACTTACACTTCTCAACGTTCTCACACTAATAAGAGTTGATCGAGGCATTATAATGCCAGGGAAAGGAAAGCAGTTTTGAGTTTTCCAGTGACTTATTCACCATCATCATTTGGGACTCAGGGATGCTTCCTGATTTTCCTTGTGCCCTGACTTCCCACCTGTACCTGCCCATGTCCACTCTCTCTTCCTTACCTGGTCTCTCTTGTTGCACGGACTTTCCAATCACCTGTTCTTCCTCTTAATTCATATTTGGACCCAGTACATTTGCTAAAAGCACCTTTATGAAGCTTTCCAGTGATGTTTTCATAGAGTAAATTGTCTTTTCTCAGTTTTTGTATTTGCTAGTCCCTACATATACATGTGCATACATTCACATATATGGGACTTCTTAAGTGTCTCCCTTTGGCATTTGACTTACCTGGGATAGCCACCAGTCATTTCTTTCCTCATGTTTTGCTGGGTCCTATTCTATGCTCCTAACTGTGAGACCACACAAGAGACTATTGTCAGTGCATTGGTTCCCCTCCCCAGCCCAAACCCCCATTCCTGTCAAACTGAGTAGGGCATTACACATTCTGCGTTTTACAGGGTTGTTATATTGCATTATCTTCAATTCCTTTTGTACTTTCTATTTCAGCATGGACCCAAACTAATTCATTATTCTTCTATTGGGTTTGAGAAATGCATAATGACCACTGGTTTTAGCCTTCAGGAAGAAAAAAGGGCTCACAATGCATGGAGCCCTGCATGGCACTTAATCAAAAGAGACAAATCAGGGGGAAGGCTGCTTCTTACCCTCATCAGGCTTATAACAAAGATGAGAAGATAAAGTAAATAAAAATGGGAACAGATGTCTACCAGTTGAAGATGTCATGCCATAAATAGAATATGTACTAAAGAGACACAAACCAGGCATATATAATAGAACTGTGAGGGAGTCCAGGAGGGCTCCTTTGTGCTGGCCAGCTTTGAAATCAGAAGATAAAATGATATTTAATATGTATATACTTCTTTAAAGCTAGGGTTTCATAGTCCAGCCTAGAAGTCACCATGTAGCTCAGGTTGGTCTGGAACTCTTAATCCTCTTGCCTTAGCCTCCTGAGTGCTGGAATTAAAGCCATACCCAGAGGTAGTTAATATTTTGATACTATTTCCTGGTTATTCATGAAAATAATGCACTATCTCATCAATAACTTTTAACTATGCCAAGCAAGTTGCTTATAGTAGCTGATTCCATCAGGAAAACAACTCTGTGCTTTTATTTTCTTTCTGTGTTTCTTAGATGGAAAGCAGGAGCCCAGGGAGTTGAAGGACATACAGATAGTCAGGGGAAGCCGTGGGACTCAAAGTGCTCTGGATTAACATCCAAAGTCAGAGTGCAATGAACTTTGAGGAATAATATGTGAATTTAAAATGTAAAGTCTTAAGAAAATTGTCCGTGATAACTCACAGATGTGGATTTCCAAAATACTATTTATTATACAAGGTGAGGCTAGGTATTCCATTACAGGAAGCACTAATCCTTTCTCCTTAAATTGTGAACCTTTCTGTATAATTTGAAAGGTTTTTTATCTAGAGTCATCAGACTGAAAAGATACGGCCATTCAGGGACTTGTCAACAGCGGTTTGTTGGTTCTTATTCGGAAAGGTACTTAACAGAGCTTGAGCTTCACCGTGCAGCATGTTTACCTACTGTCACACATTCTTTTAAAAATAGAATTTGTTTATTCTTTGAGAATTTCTTATGCTTATGCAATGTATTTTGATCATATCCACTCTGTACCTTCCAGCTCCTTCCAGAACTCTCACCACCATCTCCGCCTTCCAACTTCTCCTCCTCCTCCTC